TTCTTTGCAAAACGCATTTACCTTTTCATTACTATTTACTGACTCTGCTTGTATTTCATTTGTATGGATTTTATGCAGCCTCAGAAAAATTTAATAAAAATGTGGAGACAGTGAACAATCATTGGAGTCTGTATCTTGACTCTTGAGGTCACAGCTCTGCTGGTTTTACTATGTTCATTTCAGAGAAGCAAAAAACCTTTTTTAATGAGAACAAATCAGGATTGGTAAGAGCATGGCCACATTCTGTGTGGCACAGCAGCACCCAAAAACATATCTGTGACAAAACCAAAGAATTTGCCCTCACTGCTGGGCTTGAGCAGCCAGCTTATAACACAAATAAATATTAAAAATCCCCGTGACTTTTAGTAGCTCTCAGTCCAACTACATATCCTCACACAGGGCTGAGTCAAGCTCTGTGCTGCAGCACATACTGGCCTACATCACACTCCAGTGGTGTCCCTCAGGGGGATGCACTGGGACCAGTATTAACTTCATCCATGACATACTGGGATCCCGTACCCCCTCAGCACATTTGCAGATGACACCAAGCTGAGTGGTGCTGTTGACACACCTGGAGGACAGGATACCTGAACAAGCTTGAGAAGTGGGCCCAGGGAGACTTTGTGGTGGCCTTTCAGTATTTGTAGGAGGTTTACATCAAAGATGGGCACAGACTTTTTAGTAGGGTATAGGACAAGGGTTAATGTTTTAAACTAAAAGGTAGAATTAGACTAGAGATAAGGATGAATTTTTCTACAATGAGGGTAGCAAAATGCTAACACAGGTTTCCCAGAGAGGTGGTAGAGGCCCCATCCCTGGAAATATTTGGGGTCAGGCTGGACAGGGCTCCAAGCAGAGTGGTCTAGTTGAAATGTCCCTGCTCACTGCAAGGGGGTTAGGGATTGTAAATTGTAAAGGATGGCCTTGACAAGTCCCTTCCAACCCAAATCACTCTGTAATAACACTGTATTGTACCACAGCTTCAATCAGAGCTTGCAGTCTAAGCTGAGGCACAATTACATATAACATCAGGCTTCCTTAATGCTAGTACTGATAAATATTTTTGTTTATCCAACAGCTGTATTAGGTCCACCATCCCAAAAAAAAAAAATCAGAACTAGGAACTTCCTTCCAGAGCATTAGTACTGATACCTTGGAGAAGGCTTCACAGTCAAAGTCAGCTTTCACCTTAGTTGTGTATCTTTGGGGTTTTCTTTGGCCCTTTCCTTAAATATCTCAGTACTGTCTCAAATAATTTCCATTCCTCAAGCAAGAATTTGATAGTATCAGGACTGCCCAATTCTTGAGAAGCACTAGTTAAAATGAGGAAGAGCAGGAAAACATCCAATCTGACACTTGAAGTCTTCTTTGAATTAGACCAGATAAATATTGGGGGAAGACCTAAATCTTGACTAGAAACCTCTTTATCAATCTGTTCAGTAAGAGGGGGGACAAGAACATTTTTAAGTACCTTAAATTTCAGGATTGGGCCAGGAACTTCCAGAATCACACTGAGATTTTTAAAACAAGTTTCCAAAGACTCTCAAATGAGTTTTTCTTCATTAGCCTCCTTCATATCAGTTAGGAGCTGTCCATAATGACAGTCTGCATACACTTCACATATTAGAGGCAGAGCAGCTTAACAGGATACAAAGGGAACCCTTGGCTGTACCCACTATGCTCAAGGTAGAAATAACAGATTTCAGCAGCAGAAAAATTATTATTAACATTTGAATTCAATTCTATTACCACCTTTAAAACCACCTACCTGTCCAAACCCTGCAGAGTTTTATCAGAGCTTGAAAGGAGCCAACCCTTCTATAAACTCAAAGGTCTTTCTCAAACCTAAACAAAAATATGCACTTAGGTCCTAAAATAAGAATCAATGCTCTGTGCTCAGCACCAGAAACTAAAACTTCCAGTACAACCATTGATTTCTTGAGCTATCGCTACTCATTCAATCCAATACAGCTGTAAAACTTCCCATCTGTCAGTGGAAAACGAAAAAATGTACAAAAAGCTTTCCAGAGGCCATAGAGAGGCCTAACTAGCAGCAAGTCAAGTCACACCTTCCATGCACTGGCCCTCTGGTATTAGTCATCCCTGCTGCCCTACAAAAATACTTCTCTGAAGTAAAAACTAAACCACCCCAAAAACTTGGATCTCATAGCTGTAACAAATCTAGGACACAGTCCAAAACCACCTATTAGTTATCACCACTAACCACACAGCCTCTCTGAAGACATTTTCAGAGCTAAGTGAAAAGTCTGGAGATATACCACCAAGAATCAAAGAACACGTAGGACTCTCTGCTTAGTAAAGATGTACAAGCTGCTGCATGTTGTCTTATACATCAAGAGCTCTATTATCATTACAGTGCAAGGATTCCATATCACCAGAGTTTTGGACCTCCTCAATGTTTCTCACAGACAGCTCCTCTAAGCACTGACTGTTCCTGGTCCTTGTAGCACCAATCCACTCTTTTATAACACTGTTCTTTTTGGCTACAGGTGTGGCCTGTTAACATTAGGCCTGCTCCTAATTTTTAGTAATTGGTTCAGCTGCAACTCGTTGGGGGATAAGATTGCATTCCATACCACCTTCACTTACCCACACTGTATCCCCCTACAGCTGCAGGTTCAAGAAACCTCAGCTTATTCACCTATATATTCTCAATTAAGAAATTGTTGCATGATGCCTCTGGTCGTGGCCTATGACACTCATTCAGCTAAATCTACACATTTCCTTGACAAATTCTCTCCAAAATAAGGCAGATTTTGTTAAAAATTAGTTCAGTGGAGACTATTTGTAATTAAGTCACAGAACTCCCTTTGGCTTGTCAGACATTTTATTACAGCATCATTGGATTACCTTGTCATTACTTTGTCATTATCCATTGACTTAGCAGGGCTTTTTGCCTTAAAATTCAATTTTGCCCTAAGCAAGAAGCAAACTGCAGCCTTGAGCACTTTTGCCAAAGCTCTCAATCCTGTTGGTGTAAAGACATGCACCTAACAGAGCATCCAAAAAATCACTGCAGTTCAGTTACTGATGATTAACTCAAAAAGCAGGAAGAAAGCAAGAGGGCCCATAAACTGGCTGTGAAGTTTCTCTTGGGAATCCTGTACTTAAACCTTCAACCAGAACAATTCTTGTTCCATCTACAGAGAAATACATCAGAATCAATACCTTATAAGAAACATTTAAATATATATCCCAATATTTATACAGATTAGATTTTTAAATGTTACCTAAACTGTATTTTAGGTATGTAGGTATATAAAACAGGCAGGCATGTTTTTGTAGGAGCTGTCCTTGCAAAGCTTCCCATTGTGAGTGCAATCCAGGAAAGCTCAAGCTCACAGCTAATATCCATAAATTATGACAAATGCTTTCATTAGCCCAAAGCTTGCATGACCAGTTCATCTTAACAGTAATAACTCAGACCACAGCTGAACTCTGTTCACCTTAAGCAAAAAGCCTTTGGTATGTCTCACCAAATGTTACGATGAACTGGTCCTACCACTCTAACTATTTTATCAGAAACAATTTCCTCCTTAAAGGCTTGCCATGCTAAACCTGAAAACACTTCCCCATACATTTGTTTGTCTAAGTGCATAATGGGAAACAGGAATTCTTTGTCTAGGAGACTATGCTCTATCAGATTTTTAAGTTTTGATTTATAGGACAGTAATTTTCTTTCAGCATTAAATTTAATTTATCTTCGCTAAAAGGAAAAGACTACTTAGAAATGAACTCAACTAAAAATTTAGAAGCTCAGTTCTTTCCCAGTTAGTTACAGATTCATTAATTGAGTGTCCCTGATATGACTTGGTGCTATAATTTCAAGATGAGCCTGCATGATGAGTTACTGCTAGTCTAACAAGGATAAACACCAAGCCATCTATGTGCCTTAGAGTCAAAGGAGAGGGTAAAAAAGGAAAGAAAGTCAGGGTAGAAATCTGTAGAAATGAACTACAATTGGTCCTTTATGTCATTGATTGAAGTTTCCATGATTCCATGTTAGGTTCTCAGGAAGTATAACTTTTTTCATTACATAGAGAACAGTAGTAATGCCACACAAGACCCATTATAAATATAGAATTTATTTCTCATTACATTCAGACAGCAATATATTGCAGATTTGGACAGGTCATGTCTCATATCAAAGCTGACTTACTAATCTTACGTTTATAGTTGTGATAGCTATTGCTAGCCCAGGAAACACAACATGTGTTTCTGGAGTGGCTCTCTTGAGAATTTCAAGCCATTAACAATTATTTTTGCAGATGGGCACTCTTGACAATCTACAAAGATTCATCTGTCATAGCCTACATTGTCCAACCTTTACTGTACTTTACCTTTACAGCTCCAGAGCTCAAGAAAGCAATTTCAACAACAGCAATGGACAGGGAGATTGAGGACTTGCCCCATATCTTCCCTCAGGCAGCAGTTCTCAATAAAGTCAATACCATGTTATAAGGCCACCAAATTCCTCACATTCTATGGTCAGCAGGGCAGCTCCTTTCCCATTCTGCAGGGTCTCTGCAACCCTTGCTTCCATTCCCTCCTTGCACATCCAGGTGCAAGCTAACAAAAGAGTCAATCTCACAGTTCTGACAACATCCTAAAGCATATGATTTAAGTCATCTACAACAAAAAATCTGTGAGCAACAGGAAAATAAAAAGACAAAATTTTGTTATGTTTAAACCTTTAAAGTACCATGAAAAAGAGGTATCTTCACGAGCAGTGTGCTGACAGCATTTGTTCAGTGTACTTCCCTTCATTCTTACCAACTCAGAAAAACTGGGGTGTTTTTTCATCTTCTAACTCTGCGAGCATTCAGCTTGGGAATACCAAGAGCTGCAGTGCATCATCACATGAAGATGGAGAGGGGCACGATAGTGAAAGAATGAACAGAGAAGAACACAGAGACACTGCCCTTGGCAGGCTCTGCACCAGCCATACAGAGAATATGAATGCAATGAAGGATTTTGTTGTTTTCTTGCTCTATTTTTTGACAGTTTGTTTTTTTTTTTAAATTAAAAAAAAACACATTCCTGCTAAGGCTGGTTGTGCAAAGTTATTACTTTTCAAGAACCACCACTCAGTCTGACTCAGTTTCTGCAGACAGGCTTCCTACTGATCCATTTCTCACTAGCATTTTGCTGTAGTTCTTCTGCTGTTCTTCTTTGAAAGTATCTTTGACTTTTGCTCGTTTCAGTCCTCCATCCCTGGAAAGAGGGAACAGTAAACCATCAGGGCTGTAATGGCTATTGTTATCAAACTATGCAATACATTAAAACTCTACAGTTGATTAAGGTAGGTAATAAAGGCTTTTCTTCAGAACTTCTATAACATTTAATTTTAAGCAGGTTTATTAAAACCTTTACTTTGAGCACATAGCTTATGCAGTTCAAATTTTGAATTCAGCTCATTAAAGCAGCCTGATCATGTTGGTAACACACTGTACCTACGATAGAAATCTTTGGCAGTCTGGGATGTTACTTCCCCAGACTGTAGAGGTAGTCAATTTTCTGCAACACTACAGCTGTGTCTTGCCTTATATTATTCAGAGTTGGGTCTCATAGTTGAATCTATTTGCTCATTCTCCTCATCCGAATTTCACTCTCAAATTTGTGTCACATGAAATCTAGGCATTATCCTGCTACTTACTGGGGCAGGACATGAGAAGTCAGAGCAGAAAGGCTAAAGACCTGTTTTTTTGTTGTTCATCAGATTTGCCAACAAACTTCACTTTTGCTACTTAATCTCAACATCAGAAACAACTGTGAATGGACCTACTTCAAAAGTATCAAGCCTTTTAGATAGGACTCACTGCACGCTATGTGCTCCAAAGACTTCATACATCTTTTACTTTCACAGACATGCATGTGAAGTAACTCCATTGTTTTCCCTGAGGGGAATAAAGTGATGTTTAATGTTATTTGTCAGAAAGCTAAGGATGGAAGTGCCTATCAGTCAAACTAATCACAAATAGTCCATGAATTCTAACAAGGAGGGCATCACTCACCATGGGAGTTCAGTCAGTCCTCCCTGGCGAGCAATGGCTGACCTCACTCTGTTGGCAAACTGAACAGCATCTTCATTTTCCTTCAAGAGCCACAAATTCAACATAATCAAAGAGAGAAGTCAATGGAAGCAGACTTTAATAACATTTTTTCATCTGTTGCCTCATCAAAATAGCTCACCAAACTACCCATTCCTTATCATGCCAACATCATAATCTGATGCTTCCATATGACAATAACTCATTTTTCCCCTAGAGGGTTGAAATTAGGAGAAAATTTTGCTTCAACAAGATGGAACATTACCATTATTGCTACTGTGAACAGCACTGTATTTACTGCTATCCTTTGTACATTTGATGCACTGCTGATGGTACTAAGCTGCATCAGGAAAAGGAGAGTCCAATCATACATCAGTCAGCACTGACAAAAATCCAGTATAAAACCAATTTGGAGACATGGGGTGGGCAGAGGTTTTTGGGGGAAAAAAAGAGTAAAAGTGCACTTGCAGACAGTCAAGTTTTTAAATAGCAGTCAGGAAACCAGATGCAGGATTACCTTTCTAACCATTGGTGGCAAGTACCACACATTGCAAACGATGGCCCAGCTGGTCATTATTCGCAGCAGATAACTCACGATATTGTATTTGCTGCTGTTCCAGAAGGCATCTCCAAACTGAGGATCATACTGCAAAGGATCACAAAAAACAATTGATTAAGCCTTTCCCCAGACCATCACAGCTCTCAGACCTGGGATTACATAACAGAACCAGCAGCAGACATCACCCATTTGCCTGAACAGCCAAAAGAATTAAGTCTGCTGTGAGCAGGATGCTTCCCTTCAGCACTGGGAAGGACTAGCTGGATTTCTCTTCCTTCCAACTTTCTGCAGGAAGGAGCTGACCCCATCAGGCCTACCAGCCAGACTCTATAGGCCAAAGGACTTAACTCTAATTTCAGCTACTTATTCTCCAGGAGTCATCCAGAGCATCCACCCAATTGCCAGAGCTACTGTGCTTTTAATAGCAGCTGCATTGAGACAGCTTCCTGCCCCTCTGACAAAAACCCATCCCAAACTCTGAAATCCAGCAGCCAGCTATTTCCACTTACTTTGATTGCAACAGGATAGATTGTCCCTCCTATTTCAAAGCTCCCCTTCTTGAACATCATCACAGATGTATTGTTTATGCAGGTGCCTGTCCAGAAGACAAAGTCATTGCTTCACACAGCCATTTCAGTACAACACAACATCCACAGACAGGTCTTACCCATAAAGAGCTTGCATTTGCTGCTCACTGAGTTAAGCATCTCCCCCCTGCTTACTTTTAGCCTTTGTCTTGTGACTGGCTCCCTGAATGAAGCCAGAAGGTGTGCAAGACAAAAATCACAATGCTGCGGTTAAATCTGTAGGACAGCAAATTAATAATCTCAGGGCAAAATAAACAATCTTCCCCTTCTTCTGCCAGGAGAAGCAACATCCAGAGACAGTATTGTGTTGTCTCCATGTATATTCATCTTATATTAAAGATGAAAACCAGGAATGCCCTAACAAAGTTGAAGCCAGAGGTGAAGATAGACTTGAGCAGCAGAACCCATGAAAAGAGAACAGGGATGACATCTACACTGAATGGAGATAAGCAGTTCAGCCTCTTACCTTCTGGAAAAATTAAGATTGGGAGCTTGCTTTTATCTGCCACATGTTCCCTGAGTCTGTGGAAGCAGAAGGAAAGCTTAAAAAACAGCTCCTTTCCACTCTTCTTTCCCCAGGCAGGTGCATTAAAAATACCTTTATATATTACACATGTATGAAACCAAAGCCTTTTACTAGACACTAATTTGCACTTGCCTTTTTTTTTCCTATACAAACTGAAGCTTTGGGCCTTAGACCCCTGGAGCATTACATTGATGCAATATCCTGTTTTTCTTCCCTTGCATTATTTTACTAATGTCTGTCAGAGAAGCCAACAATTATATGCCATTAACTAACTCTGATCCACTCAACCTTTGAGAAACTGCCTAAGAAAAAAGCATATTGATGCAGTGGTCCATCCAGCCTCTGCTACTTAACAGCATATTCCTTAAAAGGGGACTTCTAAATGCCTACAGCTCAGTACTTGAATAACACTTGGACAATTTGGCAAAACTGTCCTGCTGTGCAGAGGCCAATAAGCCGGTGAAGAAGTTAACCTGTCAAAATTAACCTAATTACAAATTAGGAAGAGTTTTAATCCCTGTACTACAGTGTTCACAGGTATGCTTTTGGTGACATCCTGCAGAAAATCGCTTTTGTACACAACTTACATCCTTATAACAAAACATTTTGCCTTTCACCCAAACAAATAAGATTTTTTATTTCTAGTGGTTCACAATTTGCAGTGATACTGACTTTTTGTAACAAAAATCCAAGTTTATCATCAGTATTTCTCTTCAACAGAAACTACCAGAATTTAAGTATCTTCACATTGTTTCCAAGTACACACCTGAATTCATCAGACATTAATTATTCTGCTGATGGCTTCCCAAATCAGATATTTTGTGACAATCTGCAATCCAAAGCTTCCCAGAACCTTTGGTCTAAACCATGGCACGCTGCATAAATGCTTCAAGCCTTCCCTGACGACCTGGGAACCTGACATTTTCACCTCAGGGTACTGCACCAAAGCCCACACGAGCAAGCACACTCAGGTCGTTCTGAGTGATGCAGTATGCTGCACACCACCCCAGTAACTCATTCCCAAATCCAGGTCTTTGCCCACTGCCTGTCCAGGGAGGCAGCCCAGCACACATGTCACCTTTTTGTCACTAGATGGCGGTCCTTCATCTCGGACCGCTCGAACCAGACGTGGGGACAGGCCTTGACCGTGGCTCGCTGGATAATGCCCATCAGCCCACCGTGAACTTGGCCCACCTGCAAGCCCAGCAAGGCACATCAGCATGTGAGACACCTGAAAGGCACAACTTCCTCCTCTCCACCCCTCCAAAAACATCCAACAAACACAAATGCACTGGGAGGCTGCAAGCCAGGATTGAGCAATGACCACAGAACTGTTAAAATGCATTCACTTGAAAGAATCGAGAGACACTCACATGGCACTATCTCAGGTACTTCAACAGAAGAGTTAGGTATTGACAGTCCAAGGACTTCTCCAGCACATAATATAGTAATATAGACCAATTTCAACATAATTTACATTTTCCCCCACTGACCAGTGCTCAAGCAAACATCACTGCTGTGAAAATTAAGTACTGAAGTCCACAAGCAATACCCCACAATCTTTCCCTCTCCTGGTCCCTTTGCTGTTGTTATCTTAGGTCTCCTCATACCATTGCATAGCATCCATCATTTGTCAAAATGATCGCATCTATTGGTGATGTATGGTTGGCAACACAAATTCCTCCTTTCTGAGGTCTGTTTTCCCTGAAATTACATATTTTTGTTAGACTGCTAGTGCATTAAAGCACCACATTACACACCAAATAGTTCCATTAAGCTGTCAGGTGAGTCAGCCTCTAGAGTGTGACATCAACGTGCAGCTCAGGAGAGAGCAGTCCCCATTTTCAATGGGATGTCACACACATATAAGCATATACACACTTTTGCTCACTCACTTGTTATGGTAATGGATAGTGCCAGACAGAGCTCGGACAAGGATGCGGGAGCACGTGAGGTGAACCACTTCACTCAGATAGTTTTTCACCCTGAAAGAAATTAGACAGCTGAAACATCCTGGAAAATAGCAAGCACATGCAATGTTCTCCAGCCTACTCAACACAACTCAGGGCTGAAATCTTCCTGGTATTCTGGAGCACAGAGGGATGTTCCCAGCTCTAACAGCAGCTCAGCCAAGATACATCATGCCCTTGGCACCACTTTGCTAGGCAAGGCTGTCATCTCTCTGCTACATCATGCCCTTGGCACCACTTTGCTAGGCAAGGCTGTCATCTCTCTGCTGGGTGTTTTTCATCCCAACAATACTACCTGCCCTACAATGTCCCATTTGAGTATCTCATGCCAGCAGGAGGAACCCATCAGAAATCATCAACCTCAATGCCAAGATTGACAAGAACCCAACCCCAGCCCAAATTCAAAATGCCACTAAAACAGGGTCCACAAATTTGTGGGTGGAATGGACTATTGGTAGTCTGTTATATGTAAAAATCTGTCCACTCCAGTGTTTGCACGGATGCAATTTGGAGAGTTCATCCCTCACACACAGTACCTACCCGCCATTTGGCAGCTGTCCCACCACAGTTGTTCCTACAATCATTGATGTAATCCCAATGGCAGCGAGGCTAAAGCTACAGACAAAACAGACATTAAACCTAAGTAAGTACCTTTGCTCACTGTAATAACACTTTCCCCACTTTAAAATGGAAAGGGATTGCAGAAATTCAATTATTCCTCAGATACTTGACATATGCAGTTCTCTAACTCAGCAACTCCCTAACCTGTTGCTTAAAGTCATGGTGTAGCAAAGGCAGCAGATCCAGATACCCCCATGCACACAGTGTCAGGGAGCTTTAGAGCTTACATTTATTTTGCTAATACACAACAACTTAAGGAAATATTCATGCAAAAGATGACTGGCAGCTCTATTCTACTCTCCACAGCAAATAAGTGCTTCTTAACATAAAAGGAGCCTTTAAGGACGTTAATATTTTATATCTGCCAATGCTGCTTTTGGGTTAAAGAAAGCTGAGATGACATTTACCAAGAAAGCACAAATTTACCCATTCTCAGGCTGACAAAACCCCTCAGCACCAGAGCTTACCGTAGGGGCAGCAGGATGCAGTAGCGCACTACCACCCCAATGACCCACACAACAGTCAGCCTCAGGCTGATGTAATGGAAGTTGACATTAGTTCTTGTGAGCAGATTCCAGGAGAGCAGCTCTTCTGAGGAAAATCGCTGAGTGACTTCATCTTCCACAATAGCCTCCATCCCCTTTCTGCAGAAGTAAAAAATGTGGGAGAATTCGAAGTCTGCTCGATGCAGAAGAGCAATTTCTTTCTCCATAGGCGTTTCATCCCTTTCAATGATACCTTGGAAGGAAAAGGGTAACCAACTGAGAAAATAATTCTGTGATGTAACCAACAGTCACCCCCCAAATCACTAGTCACTTTGTATTACTCAAGAAGACAAAATTACTGTCAGAGCCCCTCCTAGGACAGGAAGTGAAGCTGTGCAGCTGACCACAGCATACCCTGCAGGAGGCCACTTCCAGCTCCCCTTCCTCACAACAACACCTTGAGCAGCAACTATATCAAGCTCTGTTACCTACTGAACATGAAGCAAGAAGGCAAACCCTTTCCCACCATCTGGCGTGTTCTCAAACTTTATTCAGGACTTTCTTATGCTTTCAGGAGAAACCAAGTGAGAGCTTGGCCTTTTCATTCCCTCCTGTGTTCTGTGTATTTAAAGGCATTCAATCTCCTTGATGGAGGCTTCCCTACTCCCATCTTGTCTGACATTCTGGTGTCCCACAGCCACAACACTGCCAAAGCCCCAGACCACAAAACTGTGCATGGACCAGCTCTGAACCAAACACATCTCCCTGCCATCACAGCACAAATATTTTCTGTAAGTACAGGCAGACCACACTATTTTTTTTTATTTTACTTAAAATCAAACAAAGACAAACTCTCCAAAACACTACATCAAAGAAAATTGTGCTTAAAGGAGCCTTGATTTAGTTCAGCACCAACAACTGTTTCAGCTGAACTCTGACTACATAATGCCTGGAGAGAAACCTGGAGACTTCACAACTGCAGCACAAACAAGAAGTATTCCCATCCCTCTAATCTGTTCATTTTTTAAGCTTATGGTCTGACAAGCACAAATTTCTCATCAGAGCTTTCAAAGGCAAGAACAAATTGTGTAAGCTAAACACAGATCAAGTAGTTGCTTGCTTGTGAGCAAGTCTGGCTCCAGAAACTGATGACCAAAGAAATCTAGAGTAACAGTTAACCAGAACAACCATCCCCTGAGACACTCAACTTGGATTACAGAGGTCCAAGTTCAAGTTGCCACTCTGTCAGACGCCCTCTGATAAATTGCATAATCTCTGTGCTTCCATGCTGAGTTAAAAAAAAAAGGGAAAGGACATAGCACCCAATTTCGTCAAGCTGCTAGGAACTTTCCACATCCTAGAATGTGGTCCTCCCAGTTAAGTCTTGTCAGCAGAAAATCTCTCAGTATATTTCCTGTGCCAATAATTGTAACATTTAAATTACAAGTTATACGGAAAATCTTCTTATCGCACATACGGATATGGCACATATGGGATAACATGGGAAGCTTCAAGATACAAATCCCACAAACCACTGAGGTAAATACTGAAGAGCAACACTGCTACAAAACCTACTGGCACCTTCAGCATGGAACTTGGCCGGCAGAACTCCCAATTGTACCAGCGGGCCACCTCACTGCATTGTCCTACGACAAGCTTACAAATATAACCCATTAGTATGGCACACCCAAAAAGCCACATGCCCTTCAGGATCTAAATTATACATGCATCACATCAAACATTTCCTAAAATGGACTATGCTTATGTCAAACCCAAATCAGAGCTCTAGCTTTTGATTCAATTTTCCTCGCACTCAGAAAGTCTCCAAACTGTGAAATATCCAGGAATGTAGGTGAGTCAGTGCAACTTGTCTGCTCCGTGCTGTTGGAAACAGGTTGTACTCAAGAAACCAGGGGAACGCTCCAGCACCCACCACACAAGTACCACCCCTGTCTCTAGTTCCCAGAACTGGGAATGTTTCCTCTTTATCCAGCTGTTGTCCTTCCCCCTTATTCAGCACCACTCACACAGATGGCCCATCTAGCTCCAGCTTCTCAGCTGAACCCAGCAAGCTGAGACAGCAGGGCTGGAATGTCCAGCCTCATCAGCCTGTGCTGTCCTTGTCACATAACACCCCATGCACCAACTGCCCTGCAGCTTTGGGACAGCTGCTCCAAGCCAAGATCCCAGTGGCACGTGAAGGCATTACAAACAGAATTACACACACGCTGACGTACCTGGCCTTCTTCTAATCACAAGTCACACTTAATGGCCTTTAATCCCTTGGCCACAGGCACAGCTGAGCTGGCCAAAGACAGCCCTATGCAGGAGTACAGCAAACATTAGTCTCAACAAAAAAAAACCTACAGCACTAACCCCAAGCCTTCAAGCTCACATACTCCAGTAAACCAATTATACCAGGCTCAAATTTAACACCATCTACTTACAAAGCAAGTAGATCTACTTAGTAGTATCTAGTAATTAGCTCCTTAATAGTATCTACTTATGTAGTAACTAGATACTACTAAGGTTATTTGCATAAGCTTTTCTTTTATTGAATGTAATTTTCAAATCTGTTATTAGCATTTTTGTCATTTTTAAACCCACCACCTTGAAGACAACACAGCCAGCACCCACATGGAGAGCTGAGAGCTGGTTATTCAGTTACAGTGAGATAGACACCTACCCTCCAAGCACCTACTCAGCCAAGAGCTACCACTGGGTCCAGCACACACTGCCCTCTAACAGAGAAAGATCTTGAGGTGACAGCATCGCATAATTCTCCATGTAACTACACCAGTCAACTTTTCTCTTGAAACTATTGCTTATCACACAACCAACACAGGGGCACCGGCAGCCCTTTCTGCCAAGAGATGTAAAGCACAGTGGATTTGATGCTGCAGAGAAAGGTGGTGTCTCTTCAATCATGTCCACTTGGTTTTGGGGTCGGTCTTTTTTTGTTTGATTTTGTTTGTTTTTTTTACCGAGGAAAAAAATTTCAGTGTCTGAAATGGGGAGAACCATTTTTGCTCTGCCAGGGAACAGGAGAACTTCACTTTGAACATAAAGTCAAGTACTCCCTTCTATCCTGACCCAGCTCCTAGTACTGGCTGATTTCCCTGACTGACTGAGTACAGTGAGTCAGGGAAATCTTATGACTGGTCAGGAATATCGTAAGAGATGATACGCACATCCGTACAGCACTTACACATAGGTGCGTACACACAGAGAAACATTTACCTTTACCCTGTTTTAATCAACTACTCTGTAATTCATTATCAGCAGGAGTTTCTCCTCCCTCAGTAAATATTGTGTAATGCAATTGGGCCTCTGTCTGATCATGTTCTGTCACCTCAGCAGACTTATATAATGCACTGTTAGACCTACACCTGCCCTGTGATGCAGGGCAGATGCCCTCAAGTACTTTCTTCCACAGCCAGGAACTCCTAATCACAAGTCAGTTACTCCTATGCTTTAAAAATTCCCAAGAGCAAGATATGGAGCTCAGCTTGGCATCACATGTCTCCCCATATTTTCTCAAGCAAGGAACAGTTAAGATTCCAACTTCCGGCAGAAAGAGCCACCTCCAGTGGGGAAAGATTTTAACTTTTTATTTCACATCCATGAAGGACATTAAAAAGGGCTTCAGGCTACCATTGTGATTGTGTATCCCCATCCCTAAGACTGCTTGAACATAGCCTGCACGCAATCATCTATATTAATTACCTCAGGCCATTTTTACTATCTCTAATGGTCCTCCAGACAGCAAAGTACACTCAACTTTGTGCAGGCTCTGAACTACAGCACATATTAACACTACACACCCCTCAGCTGCAGGAGAAATAGCCACTTGTAGCTTTTTTTCAAACATAGTTCAAAGACCAATCTACTAGCTAGGGCCTCCCTCCCTTGATGTCTGTTTACTAGAGAAGAAATAACCACCTGTAAGAATGATCAGATGTCTAGGAGGATGACGGCTCCCACTGGGCAGCTAAAGCAGCACAGTAGGGTCTCTTGCCATCTCACTGGCCCATGAAGTGATGGGGCACTATCAGCCTTACAGGAAGAAAAAGGATATCTTCCTGCATCATTGGCAACCTGGAAAGCAGACAACATGTCACTGACAATTACCTGAAAGGACTGCTAACCTTGCCTTTCCCCCCTTTCCTCCCAAAAAACCCCACAACTTTCAGGACACTGGTGAGTGATATCAGATGTGCTTTTTCTCAGCCACTTGTAAGTCAGCAACTAAGCAAGACAAGTTTTAACCTGTTTCCAGAGGTGCTGTGCAGTAACTACAGTTTATTCTCACAGATGCTGACATCTGCTGCCACAGAAGCCAGCGGCACACGTGGCCTGCAGACAGTGATCCCAGTGTTTGCAGTATTGATAAGCATATCCCTTTGGAGCTGAAACACACATACCCGGCTCAGCAATTCAGTGCCCACTACTGGATCATGTTCACATGAGCTAATCCACAGGCTCAGGTAACAGCTGACTTGTCTGCTAACTGGCAGGCTGGGCCTGCTTCCAGCTGTGCAGCCTAAGGAAGGAACACACAGAAAATGCTCACACTGCTGCCAAATGCTGTCGGAATAGAGCAATTGAATAACAAAACTGAAGCATTCGGGAACCAGGAGGAAACCAAGTGCTGACTGCAATGCTTTGTTCAGCCTTCTCCTGTCTCCTGGGCAAACTCAGACTTCTCTAATGGCTCCAAAGTCAAAGACAACTCTGACCTACTACAGTCTACCACAACTCACACACAGTATGGGTTAAGATATAGTTAAAGAACTAATTTCAAAACCAGGCTAAAGGAAGAAAGATGAAGCAACTTTTCAGCTGTCTTTCTACAGACAATGAGTGCAAGAAGTTCGGCAAACACTGATACTAACTCCAGAGTAAAAGGTCAATAGCAGCAGACTGAAAAAAAGACAAGCCCACTACACACTTTCAACTTGCAGTCCTACCATAGAAAAAGCACTGAGCTTGGGAAAGAAAGGTGCTGTCCAACAAATACTCAGACCTCTTCAGAGAATATTTAAGTGCACTCTAATGCTGTTAGGACTGAGATAGTTTGCCAGCAATCCTAGAAGCATCAGGGTATAGACAAATTTCAAGATGAAAACTAACCTCATATTTAAACACAAAAATTTGTATCAACTAGGAACAGTCTCCATCTTAAGCTCTACTTTGTTTTGTTAAATTTCATGTTGTTTCATGCTCTTCACTTCCTCATCCCCTGATTTTTCAAAGACTCAGTATGAGCCAGTAAAGGCAGCATTTTATACTGCAGGAACTGTTTGCTAGCCAGTAGCATTGCAAAACAATTTGATATGTAAGTGTGCTGGTTTTCAGCGGGATACAGTGAATTTTATTCAGAGTAGCTGGTATGGGGCTGTGTTATGGATTTGTGCTGAACACACAGTTGATAATATAGGGATGTCTTTGTTATTACTGAGCAGGATTTACAGAGCCAGGAGCTTTCCTGGTTTTCATACAACCAGGCCAGTGAGGAAGCTGGGGGTGCTTGGGAGAGTGGGAGGAGACCCTAAGTGACCTTCCAGACCATACGGCATCATGCTCAGGATATAAAATGGGAGGAAGAAGGAGGAATGGAGGACATAGATGGTGTTTGTCTTCCCAAGTCACTGTTACCCATGATGGGGCCCTGCTCTCTGGCCTGCCCATGGGAAAGCAGGGAACACATTCCTTGTTTTGCTTTGCTTGTGTGTGTGACTTTTGCTTTCCCTGTTAAACTGTCTTTATCTCAGCCCATGGATTTTCAGGCTTTTACCCTTGCGATGGATCCTCTCCCCAGTCCCACTGGGGCAGTGAGTGAGCAGCTGCCTGAGGATATACCATGACTTTCAGTGAGCATGTAACACCCACCTCTTCTCAGATTATCCCATGCACACACCTAACGGCTTCATTTGAGAAGGCCTCAGTACTCCAACATGACGACATGAGTCTCACCAATGTGATTTACCCCAAGCTCTCACCAGTGGCAGAAGGAGTCCGTGGCACCTGCGGCTGCGGCTTTTTGGCACCTTTTTGTAACCGGATAGTGGCCCACTGTTGAACAGAATGAAAACATCATTTCACACATGCAGTATTCACTTCAGGAAAAAAGTCACCAAAAAAACCCAACAGTTAGCCAAAGACACATTGTGATTTTCAAAGAATATCTTCGTCAGTCAGTAATCATAGTTCATTAATCATAGTTCATCCTCCTCAGATGTGTCCACAAACCCAAACCCATACACAGTTCTTATGAACAAACTCAGAGTAATTAATAATAATTAAAAAAACCAAACCAAAACAACACTCAGTGCTAGTCAGTACTTCTCAACTCTGCTTTCAGTCTTCAGAGAGCCACACCTGTTTCAGTTCCAGTTCACAGCCACCAAGAGCCTGAAAGGCCTCAGTCAGCCTTACTACTGCCACAGCAGCCACTGGGTCCAGGCCACAGGAAAAGCCCCAGAAGCTGAGCTGGACACAAGACACACGCAGAGTACGTGTTCACAAGGCTGACAGACATAGCACAACCCAGAGTGTCTCCTTTCAGAGTTTCATCACACTGAGAAAAAAAAAAAAAAAAAAAAAAAAAAAAAAAAAAAAAAAAACAAACCCCAAAAAGTCCTAACTGGCTTAAGTGAAACTGAAGCCTGCACACAGCTGATTTCACTAAAAACCAAAACCAGCATTTGCACTCATGAGAAATTTTAATTAAATTCAGACTCAACCCAAAAAGAATAGCACCCAAGAACTTTCCAAGCTGAACAAACCTGACATTTCCCTTGACTCTACAATTGCTCGTTTCTTGGCATCTTCACAGAATCATAGAATGGTTTGAGTTGGAAGAAATCTTAGAGATCACCCAGTTCCAACCCCCTTCCATGGACAGGAACACCTTCTACCAGATCAGGTTGCTCAGAGCCCCATCCAGCCAGGTCTTGAACACCTCCAGGGATGGAGAGTCCACAGATTCTCTGGTCAATGAGTTCCAGGTGCCTTCTCGAGGCTGAACAACCCCAACTCTCTCAGCTCTCATTTTGAAGCTCTGAGCAGCAGGAAAACAGGCCAATTCACCAGCTTTGGGGTGAGCTACAGAGAGCCCCTTCCTTCTCAGTTCTGCTGCTGCTAAGGCAATAGCTCTTCCAGGAAGTAATTTTAACTGGATACATATTGAAGCTGCTCCAGTGACATTTGTTGCCTCCTCACTCCTGGAGATACAGCTGCCACAGTCCCCAAGTTTGTTGGACTTGCCCATGCCTCCCGTGCAGCAAACAGTAGGAATAACTCAGTTTTTCTGTAGCACTCTAGTACCTTCAGTAACTTTCTGGCTACATTCTTATCAGTACTGTGACCATAAAAGTTCTGGGAAATACCAAACCAAAACAATGTTCGAGGAAGAACCTATTCAGAGCACTGTCATTTTACATTTTGTCTATGGAATGGATTTGGGGGTACAGAGGGACCAGCAAATACATTCAGGCAATCATTTATGACCAGACTTGAATCACTGCATTCAACAAATTAATATCTCCACAAACAGCTAAGTCACTTATCACATAGAACAAGAGCATATTTGGCTAATGGTCTCAGCCATACACAGCGGCAGAAAAAAAAAGTTTTCATCTTTCAAATCCTCTCAAAGGGACAATTAAAACCTGGAAGAACACTTCAGTGCTCGAAAGAGAATGCAACACTACCTTCAGAAAACTCTTGCTACAGAAATCCTGCAGTTCTGGGTTCATTCTAGACTGTGTCAAAGCTTGAGCCTCAGCACAAATCACGAGGACCCAGGTTATTGAGACAGGCCTTTGTAAAGCACAGAAGCTTGCAACACCCCCCTATACTGCAGTATCCTGACGTTTTGCTATGCAAAGGAGGCAGTGCAATCTTCCCAAAGCAGAGAAATTGCAGGGTCGTGTAACTCAAGTCAGTTTACACTGCTCAGACACATTTATCAACCCTACTCAGAAAAGCCCATTTCTTTTTGCTAAGTGGTCTGGCCTTTGCTCCTCATGTCCCTCTAACTCCAGAAAGGTGCTAGGAACAGTGGCAAAGAGAAAGCCTGGAGAGGACAGTTCCCTTTGCACCCTACCTGTGCCCTCCCAGGAGATGGGAGCACTGCCACAGGCCTGACAAGAGCGCAGCATCATGTACAAGGGTTGCACAGACTATTCTGGGGGACAACTGACTTGTGCTCCACAAGTCACTGGCTGAGGCATTCTTACATTCCATGCCAGGTCTCTTAGGGGACTTAAGCACACTTAATAAAATCAGCAATGATGAGACCAGCTCTCCCTCTTGGTCAGGAACATTTGGGCATTCCTAAGGATCCACATCTATTAGATGACACAGCAAATAAGTTTTAAGTTCTCTGTCAGCTTTCTTCTTACCTCAATCCACCATATTTCCAAAAACTATATATGTTCCAGCAACCAAGGAGTAAGAAATGAGAAATTTTTACTTAACATCTAACTCTTTCACATATTCTCAGGCACCTGAATTAAAGGCACTATCATCAAAGCCAGAATCTCAACTTTGATCAAGTGAAAAGCTTGTTTATATCCAGGCTGGGAAACAAAAGAGACACCACCTGCACTAATGTGAGTAATTCTCCTTCCTTCCTGCTAACTGGGGATATGTGCCATCCATTGCTGGTTCCTATGCTGGAGGACAACAAGGTTATGCTACAAAGAGCTATCACAATGTGAGCTGATCCATCCCACAGAGGGGAAAACAACGTGTTTGTGTATTAGAGATCAAAGCATGAAATAATTAAAACCCATAGTCTCCCTTCTACTCAGGAAATGAGCAAAAAGCAGACTGACAAGGCTTTTGGATCTCTCAGTAACACTGGCACAAATCTAAGTGGCTTCTCCCAGCTGGTGCTGAGCTGGCAGTCCCAAGGACCTTGGTGCAGACCTGTGTTTTTAGTAGGGTTTCTTGAGGCAGCTTTGGGGAATAAGTATAAAACACCAGGCTCCTGAACAGATTAAAAACAGTTCTACAGTGGGGCTACCCAACGGACTGAAAATGTAAAGTCAGAAAACAGCATGATCCCAGAACTACAAGCATCACCACAAGTCTAATTATGAAACTTTAGCATCATAACTGCTAACAATAAAGTAGTTTGAATGCTTTACTTATGCAGTGCAGAATCTGAAGATACACTTCACTAGGCAAGGAAAAGATCAACTTTTCCCTGAAAAGTTCTCCCTCCTTATCCTCCTAGAAAAGTCCTCTAATTGATCAGCACCTTTAAAATAAAATCTAAAGTGGCCAAAAGATCAAATTCACTTACACATCACTAAGCAACTGCCACACATAGAGGACCTATGCAGTACTTGAGAAAGATAGTTGTCTATTTAGCAACTGTCTTATCTGGAGTTAGGAAGGGTTTTGATATCTCTTGTGAATGTGTGATTTTGCCTCTGAGGTCTATATCCAAAGCCAAGCCTGACATGTCATTTCATGAAAGCACGTCTAGACATTCTTTGCTGGGATCAAAATACAAATCATTAGGAACACCTCAAAGTGCTGCCTGCTTCCCTAAGGAATGGGGTTCCGCCTTTCACCTCATTTACCGCCTTTACACCACCTCTGACTTAACCATGTTCAACAATGTTTTGGAAGGGAGAGATGACTGAAACCTGCAATCACATAGAGACAGACCACTGGGGTTCCCCTTTCAAAAGCACCGCTGGATCAGAGCCAAAAGTTCATGTGTTAGTTTAGGTGAGCACTCCTCCTTGGAATCTCTCCAAACCTCAGTAACAACAGAAAGATTGCAGAGCACATCCCACACATTGCCACCTTGTTTAACACAGCAAGGTCTGCATGCCAGTTGTTGAGCTGTTCTGTGTGAGGAAAGAACACCAACACCACCAAGAGGAGCAATCATTTCCGAGTCAGGGCAAAACGTCCTGTCTCACCTCCCACGCACTTCTTATTCTCATGGGACACCCCTGGCACTGCCTCCAAGGAGCTTCCCAAATTCTTCTGCACGCAGGAGTTGCATAGCAAGTCCTTCCTGGTGGACAGGTACCCAATGAGCAATTAAGAGTCCAGCTTTATAGGATAACACCAATGGCATCAGCAAAAGGAATGCCAAGCAGCTTCTTTTACAGCAGCCTCACAAACTCCTACTTCAAGGCAAGCTGCTGTTATTTTTTCAACAGCATTTGATTATTAACAGTGTTCACATGCTGTAAAACAGAGAGCAGTTTCAGACAAGAGCTGTTGATCTGGAATATGGCACATTAATTACTGATGCTACTACAGCAAAGGGCAGCCACCAGCTCTGCCAATCTTACTGATATACAAGGACTCTTGAGTTTTAAATCTGTGGTAAACATATATAAATGCCTTCAAAGGACTGGGTCTACATTAATACAGGCCAGGGATTTACTTCAAGATTCTGCACAAAATTTGCTAAAATATTATTCCAAAAGTCAGCGTGAGCCCTGTAACAAGGGTGCATCGTTCACACCAGGCATGTCTCCAAGACATGCTTCTCATCACCATCTGAGCTGGCAGCTTTCAGAGCTCTCTCGGATTCTCCTCTGCCCAGCAGTCCTTGAAGGGTACCAATTACACAGACAGAGGCCTTCACTGACTCTGCAATGACATTAGTCAGCAAAGTTTGCTGCTGAGGCCAGTGAGTTACACAAGCAGCAGTCAAAGCCCACAATGATTCATCTGTTTGTCAGCTTACATCCTCTTCTCCATTCCCTACCCTTATGCCCAGCACCACACAATCCTGATGGCGACTTACGGGAAGAAGGTGCAGCCTGGCATACCTAGGACAAGAGTATCAGTCCATCCCACCAGCCCTGCACAGCTGCAATCTCCAGTTTGACCAGAGGCACTGAGAGGGTCCTTTTTCCCTCATACCTAGGTCCATTCATATTGTCAAGGTCACCTGCAACACAAGGAACTTGGGCTTAACCTCCAGCTACAGAATAATTACACTCTTGTGCAGCAAAAATACATTCCCTACAGGCAGCACAATACAGTATCAGGAATTGCTTCTGTTACAAGG